AAGTTCGAATGCCAAAACATGCTCATCGCCCCCCTACCGCCCAAAACAAGTTCACCGCCCCACAGCATCCTCCCACCGCCCCCTGGGGGGCGGTACCGCCCCCGTTGAGAACCAGTGCTCTACAGTGTGTGTTAAATTACCTTTCATTTCTATGTTGCTATAAATTGTACATGATCTGCTTCCTCTTTTGCTGCTCCTTAGTGAAGTACAAAGTTGGAAATAACGCTTGTCTTAGTGGAAGTTTTAATCCGGCCACATATTGAGGGGTTGACCCCCCCTTTTTTTCTCATTCTGGTTTCCTCAGTGCCTCCTTCCTACAAACATCCAATATTGTCTGCTCTATTTTAATGTCACCTGGGGCTGATAAGATGTGCCAGTGATTAACTCAATCACATAAAGAATATCAGGAATAAAATAAAATTATTTTTTGTCTTTTCTTTTCTTTTTGGTTTTTTTTTTTCTGCACAGTGAAGATGCAATCAGTCCACCAGATATGATCCTATAAAATATATCATTTTAACTTTTATTATGCCTGTGATGTTTTTGAAAACCTGGATTATTCTGGTATTTCACAAGTAGAGGTAGCAAGGTATAGAATTTAATGTTTGCTGGAATTGTCACGTAGCTTGCTTCTGCGAAAAATAGATGTGTTGTTGATGATAGCAATATTATCCACAGTTAATAATGTAGAGTTGGGAAGATTGGAAAAAGATTATTATTCTTACAGCTTTATCATTACAAACAATTCTGTGACATGTACTTAAGCATTTTAGAAAATATATATCACTGACTATTTCTGGAGAGCCACTAGAGAAGCAAACAACAAAAATAATTTCATTGTCTCCTGTTCTAACTTCTTTTTTCGGGTAGGTCAGAATATAAATGTATTCTGAGCATTAAATATATTATGTTCTGAACTTCAGATAACCTTGGTCACAGCTCCTTCTTGCTTTTTGAAATATACTGTCCTGCCTGTCCTGTGTTAGTATTATTGAATAGTCATGCATTTGGTCTCCCACACTTGACCACAATAATTGCCATGGGCCACAACCACTGATAGGGAGGTTCAGTGGTAGATAATAAACTGCTGATCTTAATGACATCAGAGGAAGATGAATTATTCTGCCCATCATTTAACATCAAAGATAATCTCAGCTGTAATTTTTGACAGGACCCTGGCTTTCTCTCATGACAGGTAGATATATGAAGAAATGACAATAAGGTCCTTTTTTCAGTTTCCTTTTCTAAAGTCAGGGAGATATTGAACAAACATTAATATTAGGAATTAGGGTGAACGATGCCTTCTTGGGTTCGATAGGACAGCTACTTAAGAGATTTCTTCAGGATCATAGAATAAATAGCAGCCCATTACCAGAATTTCCTCTGCAGTACTTAGATTTACCAAACAGATGTGACTGGGGAGAAAATGGCATTATACATGTGTCTCATCAAGAAACACACCACACAAAAGAAGAAAAAGAGAGAACCAACTTGCATTGTTCTGTAAGCTAATTGATAGGTGCGTATCTGTCACTTTTAAACAATGTAGAATTAGACATTGTTATTCTATCTATAGAGTATGTGGCACAAAAATTAGAGTATAAAAGAAAGTAAAGGAATAAAAATATATGAAATAGATATCTAAAGCATTTTGTCATTACAAGAACAACTGCGGCCAGGAGACGTTGGCGTCT